ACAAAAAAAAAGTATATTTAAAGCTTCCAGAGTCAAAGCAACAAAACACAAGTCATGTATGAAGGTAAACTCATCAGCTGATCTCTCAGTGGAAGCATAGAGATCGGGAAGAGCCTACACCAATGCATTCCAAGTCCTAACTCATCATCAAAGTGGTGCTCGATTAATGTACCCAGCAAAAATATCTGCCATAGTTTAAGGAGAAGAAAAAAACTTTGCATGATATAACCAGCCTAAAAATATTAATATCCAACAAACCAAACATAAAGAAAATACAAGAAGCATTGTTTTGTGATGGAGAGAGAAATGAGGATAGCCAAGAGACTGGAAACCGAATATAACACGTTATTACTAAAGCACACAGTAGCACTAGGAACACAAAAAAAGTCACCAAAAATCAAGAAGACAATGACAACAATTAACACACATTTCAACAGTAACTTCAAATATCAATAGGGTCACCTCTCCAATTAAAAAAACAAAACAAAAAAAACTCAAAAACAAACAAAAAAAACCCAAGGACTGAATGCATTAATAAACAAAAAACATTTGTTGTTTACAAGAACATTTTCCCTTTACAGATAGGCAATGCCTTAGAGCAAAAGACTAGGAGACAGTACCACAAATAAACGGGAAGCAGAAGTAAGCAGACATCACTATCCTAACATCTAAACAAACAAACAAACCCAAGCAAACAAAACGCCACTTCAAGTTAAAACTGATCACAAGAAACAGAGAGGGACACTTCACTATAATGAAAAGAATAGTAAGCAAATAAGACAATACTATCATTCATGCGTGCGTGCGTGCGTGCGTCTGTGTGTGTAATAGACAGGTCATCTGGAAAAAAAAAACAAAAATAAAAACCTAAGACAACCAAACAACTAATGGATTTAATTATTATCTATAGAATATTTTCCCCCAAAACAAAAGGAAATACATGGAAGCGTGTCTAAATATAGAAGTAGCACCTTGAAGCTTCTCTAAAATAGACCATAAACAGACTATATCCTAGACAGAAAACAAATGTGCACTAATTCAAAAAGACTACAATAACTAACTACAATATGTAAAAACTAAAATAGATAAATCTCTAGTATGTACACAAGCTTATTAATGTTAAACAACTCATTACTGTGTTGCAGATAGGTTAAAAAAGAAGTCAAGAAAAATAAAAAAAATACTAGAATTAAATGACTAAAACACAACAAAAACTCTGAGATACACTGAAAGCCGTTCTGCAACTAAGATTATATCACTAACTGCCTACATTAAAAAGACATCTGAAAAAGCACAAATAAATAACTTAATGTTCCAACTCAAAACTCTAAAAAAAGAAGAAACCAAATCTAAATCCATTTAACAGAAAAAAAGAAGAATCAGAGAAATTAATGAAATAGAAAACATTACAAATAATTTACAAATAAAGAGCTGGTTTTTTGAAAAGACAAACTAGATTGACAGACCCATAGCCCAACTAACCAAAAAGAAACAAAGAGAGGACTCAAATGAACAGAATCAGAACTAAATAGGGAAATATAAAACAGACGAGAAAGGAATTCAGACTATGATAAGGAAATACATTAAGCTGAAAAAAAAAAGAAACTAAATGATTTTCTAAATTCACTCAAATAATCACAATTAAACTAAGAAGTTAAAAACATACATAGACCCATAATATTGAGATTGAAATTGTAGTAAAAACCCTCCAACTAACAGTAATTCTCCTGTAGCCACAGGAGAATTCTACTAGGCTTACAAACAAGATCTATAGGCAATCCTAAAACTATATTTAAAAGATTATATACATATGTTGCAGAACTTTTCCTGCCCATTGTATTTGCAGTGAAGCTCTACCATTGGATAGAGAAGAGGTAGGTGGAGCTAGGAGTTGGGAGGAGGAAGGAACGAGGAAGAGGAGGCGAGAGAGGGAGGAGAGGAGAGATGATAGATGTCCTTGGATGTCTCTAGCAGTCTAAGATAGTTATAAATATCAAGGTTAGGTGATTGGGTTAACAATCCTGATTGTGTGTGCATCTTGTATATTGAGCATTTTCCAATATATAAATCCACTGGATAATCTTTAAGCATTAAGAGTCTTATTTCTACCGGGTACTGGGAATTGTTATACCTACCGCATGGGGGTGATGGGGTTGGCCCTTGAGCCATGCTTAGGGTCACAGACTCCAAGGAACTGACCAGCAGCCACACAAACGTCCTGTGGGTCCCTGGTCAGCACTCCTAACCAGCTGGTGCAGCAGTTAGTGCGGGAACTGAGAGTGAGAACATGGTGGTGGCTGGGAGCTAGCCAGCCAGTGTGCCATTTTTTCCATTACCCTTCTGCTACACCAGTGACTGGCCCAACTTAAACCCATTCCATGGACAAGCAACAACCCCTAGCAGTATTACTGATACTCTGTTATTTGTCTCATGAGAGGCTTAATCCAGCAGCTACCTCTGACAAATGCAAACACCACAGCCAAACAGTGGATGGAGTTTGGAGACTCTTATGGAAGAACAGGAGGAAGGTTTATGTAATATGTATGTTAAGGTTCAACAATCGCTGAAGGAAGACCTCAGACTTCCTTCAGACAAACAGTGTGCAAGAACAAAGAGCATTTTTCTGCAGAAACAACCAGCATGCACTGTTTCAGAATGGCAACCCAGATAAAGACACTCAGACCTCTTTAGTGATAGGACTGCTATTCATTCTCCTCTAATGTCTAGATTGCACTGAGGACTCTGCCACTTCTTAAGTGTCATGAGTTAATTGTTTCTGAGACAACAAGCAGACATTTACAACTTAAGAGCACACTCCAAGAGGTTGCAAAACCACTAACCAAAGCTCATAGAAAGGGAACTAGGGGTTTACTATAAGTGCAAAGACAGAAGATAAAATATTGACTAGGTTTATCTATACAAAACTTCAAGGATAACTTAGCTACAGTTTTTAGTGACAAATGATGAATGTTTAGCCAGATAATTACTCTTAATGTAAACATTCTCTGATCTAAACTTCTTATTGAATTTGTGATTTTAATTTATGTATAAACTTGTGAACTTTTCAGAATTTAGAAATAAAGGTTAAAATCACTTTTCAATGTCTTTTTCTTCCTGCAACTTCAACTAGCAGTCTGGGACTACAGCCCAGATATAACAAAGGCTACTTAATCTCCTTCTGTTTTACTATTAGGTGCTAAGCAACAGACTGCAGCTCTTGGCTTCAAGCTGTTATTCAGGTGGTATACTTTACTGTCTTATTCCTAGAGCTGGTATCTTATGACTTAGTTTCTGGGACTTATGGCTATTCCTGAAGCTGGTACTGTACAGCCTTTTGGAAATTAGGCCTGATCCTTAAATGAAGACCAATGGGTCTATGTTGACTTTACATATACATTGTTATAGCCTATTCCTATAGACCTTGGTTGTCCTCCAGAGTTGGAAGGTAAGTCTCTATTGCTCAAGACCCATGTACTTCAGACACAGGGCCCAGAGGATCTTGAGCTGGAACTGACTTGAATGAATGCCTCCTCTCTGAGGACTAGCTTGGCGTGCTATTAGAAAAGGTCATACCAGATTTGAAGGAAGAGAAGCAAAAAGCAGTTGCTATAATGCCAATGAACCACAATGATAATTGGCATGGCAGTATAACCCTAAAAGTGCAGTATTGGCACATATAACTGGCCAGTAATTAACAGCTCTCTAACTTGGACTTAAAGCTCAGTCAACAAGAGGAACATAATGTCTGATATTGGAAACCTAGACAACTACTCAAGGATCGTGACATGGATCTTGGAGGAGAACCTACAACCATCATTCTACAAAACTAGAATCCCAACTACGCTCTAAACATTAGTCCTTAGACCCACATATAAGCATAATCTTCACCCATATCAAGTAAAGTTCTCTTTGAAACCGACTTACAAACTGTTAGCACAAACCACAACCAATCAAAATGCAGAATTGTAGAATCTAATCCCAAGAAATACATCTACAATAGCACCTAATAATCAAGAATCACTGTTGAAGAGGGAGGAGACGATCTTAAGAGCCAAAGGACCAGAGTTTTTGTTGTAAGACTCCTAGGAATGTCAGAAGTCTAAGTCTCACCAAGACTGCTTGGGCAAGAGCTGAAGAAGGACAATAATAGGCATGTTACTGTGACTGAGGATGGGTGAGGTGAAGGTGGAGTCCAGAAGGCCTGAACCCAAACATAAAACATCGACTAGAACTAAAGCAATGCTGACAGCAGGAAAAATGGTCTTGCACCAGAAAGAACATTCTAAATGGCCAGTCCTGAAAACACAGAGAGAAGTTATTTTATACAGACTGAGTAGACAGTATTTATGTATTTTCAAACCTCACCCCCCCATTCCAGCCCTGCACACACATATGTAACAACAATTAATGAAAAAAAGTTATGAATTTGAAAAACAGGATGGAGGTTTTTGAGTGCTGAAATAGAAGGTATGTATGTTACAATAATAATATAATCTCAAAAATATTTTAAAGTATGAAGAAAGTAAATACTATTCTTGGACCTTTAGAAATCCTTTGAGGTAGCAAAAAACAGAACATTCATCTGAACATGTTCAATAAGGCTAAACGATGCAGTGTAGGAGTGAAAAGTTCTTTTTAAATTATCTTTGGGTCTGATTACAACTTTTCTATATCATTTCATTATACTTATATGGAAAATACACTATTTTATATCCTAGTAAGTATTTAGGGCATGTGTTGGGTACATAGAAGTTTTCTTATGGTGTCCTTCCACCTGACATCAAGGCTACAACTACTAAGCACTTTGTCATTTTTAGTAAGCTTGTTTAGGAATATTCTGACTGTGTCTGCATTTTAATAGCAACAATATTTTAAACTGTCAGAACCATAAGCTTCTCTATGTAGAAGGTATTTAGCATGTAAAATTTAAATTTTCATGTTAAAGCAGCACACTAAAGCAGACATTTTAGAGAAGACTCAAATAAACCCAAGCAAGGAAATTACTTCTGAATAAGCAGTAACAAGTTTATTTTAACTCAACGTGCTGAAACACAAAATCTATTTCCAGCAATAACACAAATAGTGTGTATCTCACCATAAAACAACAAATGGATTAAATAAAGGCCAGAAAGTTTAACTGTTAAAGGTCTGAGTCTTAAAAGTCAACTTCCTTCTGAACTAATAATTAAATAATTTTAGCAAAACTTTATTTCCAAAAATGGACTCAATTCATCTGTAAGCAATGCTAAATTAACTAGTTAGATAATAAGCTTTACAGTAAGCTTTACCAACAGGAAAATATTTAAAAATAAGTATTCCTTCTCAGACATAAATTTACATACAACAGAAAATACAGTGTGATTTCATTCCTAGTAAAGACATCTTGCATTGGAGGCACTCAGTATTTTTTTCAGCTAGAAATAGCCAACATTTACATCACTCCATGAACACTTAAGTTGGAGCTTACAATCTCTGTATAAAAAGGTTTGTAAAATACTCTCATGTGTGCTGAAAGTGCTGTATTTATTTTCTGAGAATACTAAAACCTACTCACTCACTCGCCCACCTCTCTCAAGAACACAACAAATATTTCCATTGTAACCATCGAAGACCAGGCATGTCCAAGACAGATTATTTCACTTCTACATGAACATGAAAGACTTGTAGTAAAACTGCTGAGTGTGATTTTCATAAAACTTATCCAAGTCTTTGTTGCATTTTTCTAACAGTGAATTGTATCTACGATCCCATCTTTTTGTGTGTTGATGTTGCTATGGATCCAACTTATGGATCACAAATATTCATAAGCACTCTATCACTGAGCCATACTTGAAGCGTTTATCTATAACTTCATATAAAAACTGCTTTAAATTCATGTATAAAGTTTTAATGAGCAAAATAATATTTCCGAAAATTTAAACTCTCAATTAGATCAAGTTAAAAAAATAAAACAATGTTCATGACACTTTTAAAATATTTAAAGCAATTATTTTTAAAATTTAATTATCCTTGATATCCTAAAACAGCAATATTTTCCTATTTTATAATGAAGAATGCTGGTCACATTTTTGAGGATTACACTGTCTTCTGGCAATCCACTGTCTTTTCATATAAAGTACACTTAAATGAGATACTTCAATTAATCTGAATTTTCAACATATTTAACTAAGTTCTATTTTCATAAATTCACTCAAACATATTATACACAGCCCAAGAAAATATAAACACATACATATCTCACACAAAGGGCATTTCATTCAAGGTTCTCCAATTATTATTTGAAGATAGTAATATAGAAAGTATTTAAGGAGGTAACATTAGCAAGCCATCTTATGGCACCTTCATATTTGTGCTCCAAGTATCAAAACACATTAAAAGCAAAACAATGAAAAAGGCACAAATACAGTATTTCTAAATCCACTCTAAAGAACAATTTTCCAACAGACACATTTTTAAATTGTAATATTGAAAACCACTTACTTACTCTGTACTGAGAAAAGCCTTGTTTAGGTGACTAAAAGGTAATAGAAGAAAACTGGTAACTTAAAAAGACTGGATTAAGCAGAAATTGTACCTATTTTGATCAAGTTGTATATAGTACAAAAATGAGTGAATGGGGAAAACGCAATTAGGACACTCCAAGAAGAAAATAAACAGTCTTTTATCACACACTCAAGAACCAAAACTACTAAAATATACATTAAAAACAAAACCAGAAAAGATTGTATGATTCTTTAAGTGTAATAGTTGGTACAGTACCTTCTAAAAAGTGGGCATGTCAGCAGACACTGATATTTACAGAGCAAAGTGTTGGACATTTTTGGTAGTAAATATGTTAGCAAACTAAAACCAAAAATATGTACAAGAACATTGCAAACATTATCAATAAACACTTATTATGTTTACTATATGGCATTACTATTGATTTCACCATGGTTAGAAATGTGGACCAAATCAATGAATCAATTTGCAATGTGTTGTACATAGACTTCAGTGTTTTTATGACATTTGACAATGTATTCTAGCTGCTGAGTGGAATCTTTGCTTTTTGTTAGACCATGAAAATATCTTGTATTAAAAAGTGTGCTTGTGTGCGTTTAAAAGTTTACTGTTAATGTAACAAGGTTTGTATTATGAAGAAATTAAGGGAATAAACTTTTGCTCATCATGATTCTCTTATATAGGGTGAAGCCCACTCTCAGATGAAAAAAATTTCTTCTATCTCAAATAATTCTTACCATTTTAACAACAAAGAATCAAAACTAAAATATCTAAAAATACAATCTTTTCTTGTTTTCTCTTGATAGCTAATGCTTATTTGACAGTATTTTCTGAATGTATTTTAAGATTGTTTCAGTTAAGAGCTAAAAAGCTATAGTTAAAATAGTCTATTTTAAAACAATATGCTTACTTTTTTCCTGAATTTTATAATAAACAAATTACACAAATTTTAATTCAGGGAATAAAGCTACATATGCAAAATACAGGCACATACACCTGTTTTCCAGTAACATGCTCAGACGTTATGTAGAGAGCACATCACCAATGCTTCAGTCACATATGATCTGACACGGCCACTCCTGCTTCTCTAGAACAATGCATCACAACAGATCTCACAACTACTAGACACAAAACATTTGCGTGTTTAAAGCTAAACTTTAATTAAAAAACAAACAAACAAACAAAAAACGGTTTCACTAAAAACAGTTGGTAACATGTATCCCATTCACATTACGCAAAATTTCAATCATCTACCTTGTGAGTAACTGAGCCACCAGGGAGAAACAAGTTTCCTAGTGTGGCTGCACACACGCTCAGAGGGTTCTCTGCTTTCCCATACAACTTACACAGGCAAATATTATCTGTTAATTGCTTTGAAATAAAGCAGACTGTACATGACTCATTTATTGTTAGGTGCCTTGCCCAAATGTAATAAAACTGTAATAAACTCAATAATAAATATTTGAAATCCAAGTCAATGTATCTAAAATCAAGCATAATTTTATCTATTTTCATGAATATCCAAGTTGGCTCCTTGTGTCACAAAACTTCTTTTAAATGTTAAAACATAATCAAAATCTTATTAATCCATGCAAAGGGAAAATATATATGTACCATTTATCATAGAAAATTTCCACATTAAAAGTGCACATATATCTTTCTTAATTGGCCCACTCATTACATGTACATTGGTCATCCTGACTTTAACATCTATTGAATTTTTCTTTCAAATGTAAGTCATAAATTTAAAACATTAGCAAAAGTCATGCTTTCTTTTTATTGAAATCTTAACTTCATATTATTTTTCAATCTTTACAAATGTGCATAAACCCAGTTTCTTGAGCAGTTAATATACAGACAAACACCACAAATATTACTAAAATTTTAGGTCAACTCATTGTTATCTGCCCCTTGAAATGAAAAATAATTTAAATCAGAGCAGTGTATGGTCAAAACGTATCTGGATGGTAACAGGCTCTTTAGTGCCTACACACCTGAGACTGGAGATGCCTCTGGCAATCTACAAATCCAATAGAACCTAGTTTTATACTTGGAGATCATATAGAGCAAAGCCTGTAAAATTCTTTTGTTTCTAAAATAATGGAAGATCCTTTGAAATTCAGTATCATCAGTTATCAATATTACTGCAATGTGGAGCTAGTGCAATCCTGCATAGCCTTGGCAAACTGACAAGGCACAATAAAAAAAATTAAATTATTATATGAACAAGAGAAGTCACTGAAGACAATTTAAGGCCTTGAAGTGAATTAATCAGTCAGATTTAAAGCTGAAGTATAAACCATAAATTATCCATGTGAATGCAAGCAATATGCCTTTCCAGCTTCCGTTCTGTGGACAAGAGACAGAAACATCTGTTGCTTATGGTTTGTATTGGAATCCTTCAGGACCTGGGGGAGTAAAGGCAAATAAATTTCCTACTGTCCATGGAAGACTCAAGACTGTTTTAACCTTTTGCGTGGAATACCAAACTGTGGACACTGTGAAGATGCTAGTGCTCGGAAGGCTTCTGCCACTAAATGAGGATGAGACTGGATCATGGACTTCCACCCTGATGTTTCCATTATGTCGGTTGCTTGGCTGAAAAAAAAAGATTAAGTAAAGTTTACTGAAAAGACACTTTACAAATGCTTTGCTGAGTTATCATTTTTTGGTTTTGTTTAACTTGAGGATTTTGAAATTTCAGATACCATAATTCTTTTCACACATTCACTTGAATGTTTAAAAACATTATCTCTATCTAATTAACATTTTCTGGCAAACCTGAACATTAAGACATGTTGTCATCCCCAGAGCTCTCCAATGATGCTAGCCATGTCTATCCCAGGACCTGATCATCTCTTTTCTCTTATCATGAATACCTCCTACAGGTTTTCTCCAGAGTTCCAACTTTTCACTTAACACTCTTCTCCTTTTAACACACTGTGTATTTGATATCATCCACCTGTCACAGTTCTAATAATCACAGCTGATCAGTCAAATCTCAGGGCTTCACTGCAGTCAGCTGCTCTTTTCATCTGAACGAGCCTTAAGTCTCACAAATTCAGCACTGTCACATGAGAACTCATCACCTTTCTCCTTAAGTCTCAAATATTTTTTCCTTAATTTGGCTGAAGCTTTCACTGTTGTCCAGTGATTCAAGTTAAACATCTAAGAGTCATCCTAGAAACAGTCCTCTGATCAAACATCAAAGTCCCATCTTAATTCTAAATATAATCAAGCATCCATAAATTAATCTTCATAATCTCACAACTTGATTATTATATTCTCCTGATTTGTGTTTAATCTCCTACACTGTTTCTCTTATTGCAGCTTCCATAATGTTCCAACAGAAATATGACTCTATTATGTTTTATTCTACTTTTCTTTCCCTACATTTAAGTTTTAAAAGTGAGAAATGTGGTTTCATCCTTTTTATAGGTTTGCATTCCCACTTCTACACTCTGGTTTCTCCTTTACTATTTTATTTACTGTGTCCTGCATGTAAAACATGCTCCCAGTGAGCAATCAGAATAACTGAAAATGCAACACATTAGTTCCTTTCCTTCTCTCCTCTATGCCTTCCACGTACCTGAATTCAACCTTGTTTTTCAAATACCACCATTACTCCAACCTTTCTCTACCCATTCATCAACCTGCTAAATGTTAAGAATGGAGTCAATAATGCTAAGAATGGAAGCTTTATTGCGTCCCATCAGAAGAAGTAACTCTTACTGAAGATTCATTATTCTTGACTCACTGTCAAAAGTCCTAACTGTGGTTTGGGGGATCTGACCTTTGCTTGCTTTCTCTAGCATTGTCATACTACCCACTTACTTCACACATTCTTTACTCTGATTTTCTGTAATATAAGTAAAACTAGGTTCCATACTTTATTTCAATTACTTGATTAATCAATCGGCTATCTTCTGTGCTAAGCAATAGTGTTCTAGGAACTCAGGAACGAAGAATCATGCACCCATGGACAGTGCTATGCTTTGTTTCATGAATACCTTTCAGTCTGTCATGTCTGATCTTTCCTTCTCACTGACTCCTTCTGCTACCTCTTATTCATGTTTAAAATGCAGCTCAGCCCAATCTGTGGAGCCATTATTAAATCCCAGGGCTTAGTCAAGTACTTGTGCATAGCCTCTTCTATGGATCACTTTAGAGGGTGTATGTGTGTATTTATCTCCATTAGATCAGTTACTTAAAGCAAAGACATTTTTAAAGTGTCAAAGGTAAGTATATTGAAAGTTAAGTATATTGAATTAAGTACTACATGACTATCAACAAAATGTTTATGTTCCATCATTATGTTTAAAATTTTAACTAGTTATTTAGAATCACATTGGTACTTATTAGTTTACCTGAATATTTTCATTTAATAAGTATTTCATTCAATAAGTATTTGATTCAGTAAGTATATACTAAAAGTCTGTATCTATAACACCAAGTATATACAGTTACCTAATATTTTGATAGAAGAAAAGTTGTATATTTTCTTAAGTATAAAGAAAATCTTAAAAAACTAAAACTAAAGCTAAGTAAAAAAGATCAAAGAGAGCCACTGCTGCTAATGCACAATGTTAGACTCACTCTGACAACCCCGTCACTGCTGCTAAACGTAGACTCACCCTGACAGCCCCCTGTCACTGCTGCTAAACGTAGACTCACCCTGACAACTCTGTGGTCACTGCTCCTAATGCACAAAGTTAGACTCACACCCTGACAACCCCATGGTCATTGATGCCATTACAGATTTGAAAACAGTAAAAAGCTTTACTTTCAGAAAACAATTTACAAACTAATATGAAACCAACAGACAAGTGCAAAGGAAAATAGTTTAAATATACTGTTGTCTTTAGTACTGTCTCCTTTTAAATTTTATCAACTATCTCACACCCTCAATAATGTGTTTTGCAATAAATAGCCCATGGTGGTCAGTAATTTCGTATATCAGATAATTTTTCAAAAGCAGAATTTAAGGGTTTATAGGAAAAACTAATCAAACATTTATGAAAAACCTCTAATTCATCATCTCTTCCTTTTGTTATTGCAAATAATTAGAATACTAGATAATAAGCGATGGGAAAAAGTAGAAAATTATTCATTTCTAATACTTTGTATATAAGGGTCTCGGATCAACAGGACTTAACAATCATCCAACCTCTAGCAATAAACATACTGCTGACCGTCACTGTTAGGAAGCCCAGTCTACAAGGGGAAGTATTTGGCTGATCTAAATAGTAGTAAGTTAGCTCTTGAGGCAAAACATTCGGAAGTCTCTTGAGTTTGATGATGAGCTACAATACATAGCAAGACTCCAAAAGCAAGCAAACAAACTAACCTGTAAGTTCTACTGATACATAATCCTTACTTTTTGAGAGGCTCGGACAGGAAGAGTCAAGTCTGAATCTATCCTAAAAAACCTAGTAAGATCTTGACTTAAAGTTAAATTTCAAAAAGGGTTAAGACTTAGGTAGCTCTGTGGTAGAGTCCTTGTATAGCATGTGCAAGACGTCGGGTTTGATCAACAAACATGATCAAATCAACAAAAATTTTAATGACTTCCTAGGCAAGTCCTGAGGATTTAGCCTTTCTTACCACATTCTGAAAACAAGAGGGCAGATTTTTGGCAACCCTTATAATGCCTGGACTCAGCTATACACCATGTGTGTGATGTGCATGTGTGCATGTTCAAGAGATTAAGAGCATCCCTCCTGCCAGGCAGTGGTGACCACAGCTCCAGAGGTAGAGGCAGAGGCCGGTAAATCTTCATTAGTTTGAGGCCAATAGCCTGGTCTACAGGGCTAATTCCAGGACAACCAAGGCTACACAAACAACACAACAACAACACTCAACAGAAAATAAACAAACAAACAAACAGCACAAAAGCATCCATCTCAGTCTGTAAGAAAACCCAAACTTCAAGGAATCTACTGAAAGCAGTAAAATTATTATTTCTAAAATAACTGGCATTTGGCTTCATTGGAAGCCACAATTATTGTTCTGAGCAAAAGGATATACATCTTACTTGTTGTTCCAGTTTTTCCCATCTTTACACCCAAGTTGTCGAAGAACACTGCACCTGCATTGAAGATTTAGACAGGGTTTAAGAAAATCCCAGTGAAAACATGTTCAATGTGTCATGCCACATGAAATGCAAGTATAGCTTACCTATTAATAAAGTCTATTGCCTGGGCTTTCAACTGTTCTGCACTGTGCAAATCTGCAAGGACAAGGGTATCAGCAACATTTTCTACTGAGAGGTTACTACACAAAGCTTCTTCACACATGACCTTCAGCCGTTCCAGTGCATACTACCCAAAAGAAAACATAATTATTAAACATGTAACCCCCCTTATTTAGTGTGTAAGTACATAATATTTGTAACAGTAGATAAAGCTCAGGAAAATTTGTTTGGAATAATGCTATTTTTAAATCAATAAATTGTTGGTTTAGCTTACAAAGAAAATGTAAATGAATGCATTCAGGAGAAATACTCATTTACTTTAGAAAGTGTCTTAAGTGCAAAATATGGCAAATTTTAAAGTACGATTTATGTAAGGCATCTATCTTTTTTTTTTTTTTTTTTAAACAGGTTTATTTAATGTACCCCTACCCCCTTAAGGAAAAATAAAAAACAGCTCTTTGGGGGAAGAGCAGAGGCCTCTCTCATTCTGCTAAGATGCTATCTTAACGAAGGAACATTATTCTCAAAGCCCATAAAATAGAAGATTCCCTTCAAGCAAGATCTCTCTTGCACTCCCTCTGGTTTCCCTGGGGAAAAGAAAACCTTGTGTCTCTCTTTCGAGGGATTGGGAGACCTAAATGAAGGATACAAAAAGGAGCCCAGGGAGAGGCAAAAGAAAGAGAATCTTCTCAAATGGTAAGGCATCTATCTTAGTAATAAGTTATACTAAAGAATATTTTGTCGATAAACATTTACCTCAGTTCTTTTCTTCTCAAAGCAAAGAATTCATCTGAGAGACAATTTAAGCTATATTTTGTTTAGTAAAAGAAAGCAAAGTAATGAGCACATGACAAAGAGAGATCTGAGTGAAACTGTTCTTAAGTAGGAGAAGCATAACAGCAGTCTAGCAGATTTTGCACAATGGATTTTTAAGATGTTTACAGTCCCTTTTCTTGTAGCATCATTTTCAAATTTCTCTTTCTGGGTAGCACCTTTATTTCATCTCATTCTACTGTATGCTATCTGCTGACATAGTGTCATTTTTAAAAATTCCTTACTTATTAGATCTTCACTGGTGTGCATATTCACCATTGTGAAAAATGCCCTAATACCTCAATTTCTAATTTGGTAGAAAGAACCCAAGCTTAGTTTTAAAGATGCTGAACCACAGAAAGGCATTCATTCCACTATCAGGAGATAACAGTATAGTTACCAAGTTGCCTTAGTTAGCTCTCTGGCTAAGTGTGAAAATACCTAACCGTAGAAGTAGTGACTGTCTAGAACCCACTTGTCCCTCTTGTTCACATGTGCCCCCAGTTACCTTCTGTAAAAATTCATTTTCTTTTCTACTACTTTACACTTAGTATGCAACACACTGTATTTCTTTTGCCACTATTCAAACTTGAAGAATGATTTAACAGAAAGCTAAGTAAATACTGCAACTTCTAATTTTTTGCAGTTATTAGTGTAAAGCTGCAATAGTAGGTTTATTGAGGTTTAATGACAGAAAATAGCATCTATTTAAAATTTTTACCATGATGATTTAATACAACCATAAACTCATCATCCAAAAGGATGAATATACCCTTTGAAGTTTATCTTTCCCATTCAATTCCAAGAAGTTTCTGTGCTACTGACTTATGCTACTGAGAAGCTATCTTGCATTTTCTGAAGTTATTTCTACAAATGTAATTACACAGTGTGTATTCATTATCTACCACTGCTATTCAGTGGGACTATCTTCAGGCTCGTGCACAACATTGATTATAGTTCAGCTCCTTCTTACTACTAAGTAGTAGTTCCTTAAATATGCACATCTTTCTTTTTCTCACTCCTCTATACATATTTACATACGTGTGTATATAAATGTATATATGTACATATATATGTGTGTGCCAGATGCCTACTATAACAATTCATTTTCTTTTCTAATACTTCTAACTTAGCATTTACTACTGAGTATTTACTCCGCCAATATTCAATCTTGAAAAATGACCCTTGAAAGCTGAGTAAATGTTAATAACCACTAATATTACAGCTAAATATATACACATACATATTGTGTATGTGTGTGTGTGTATAGTTTATTGATAGTTCTTAACTATTATAGTTATAAATACTCAAATAAATTTTAAATCAGAATAGGTATATGTTTTTAGTGGGTAATAGAGTGGTTAAAAGTCTCAAACACAGTGGACTACACGGCAAGTGTGTATTTGACTTTAAAAGAGACTTCAGTTTTCTAAAGTGGTTGTATTATTCCACGCTCCTACCAACAGTCTGAGAATCCTAATCCTTCCAGATCCTTGTCAAGTCTTATAAACAGACTTTGATTTTAGCCACTACAATGGGTGTGCAGATATACACCATGATGCCTTTAATCTCCATTTCTTTAATGATACTTGTCATTTTTATTTAATGAACTTCATTAGTAGATTTGGGAACTAGTTATTTAAACTTCATCTATCCTCCTACCCCCCGAGGATTAAATGGTCTTAACACAGTTAGAATATAAAACTCCTAAGTGTATGTATGATACATATGTTTTTAGGATGGAGACTCAGAAGATCCAAAACTTTTCTGATTTTTTTTGCACTTTTTTCTGTGTTCAAAAAGACAGAACATATTTACAATAGAATATAACAAATTATTAAATTTTTCCTTTCTATGCTAACATATTAAAATAAATCTATAAAGAGAATCATGTAAACCATATTATTTTAAAGAAAAATACACAAAGGTTGTGTAGTGTGTGTTGCATTTATCTTAAAAATTATTAAGCTTATGGCTTAATCTTCCTTGGAAAATTCCAGGCTCTTCATACTTTCCTATCATATTGATATCTTAGACAATTTTATTTCTATAGTAGTCTACTCTATGCTATTTTATAAAACTCTCCAAGCTATCTAACAAATAGTACAAATTAAGCTATACCAAAAATTACCTTTAGTTTTTTATGCATAATAGCTTCCAATAAATGGCAAGTTTGAAGACTTTTGTTTTTGTTTTTTGATTTTATCCTTTAAAAACCCCATTACTTACTTTGTCTGCAGCTGCCAACAAGTTGTCAGCCATTTTACCGAGATTTGGTGCTTTTCCTGTGTAAACGAATCTCATCATTTCTTTAAAAACCTCAGGGTCTAAATCATTTATTTCCACTCGATTCTATTATTGAAAAGAACACAAACAATTTAGGAACAGGTACATATGTGACTCCACCTGAATCTTTAATAGTAATTAAAAAACATAACATTTTCAAACTCTATTTTAAAATTGAGGTTAAGTAAGTCTATAGTAAGTTAATCATCCAAACTATGATATAGGCTATTTTAAGAATAAAAGCATATACTGTGTAAGAGATATGACCAGCCGGAAACTACAACATGGATAGTGAAACCAGGTAAGTACTACTATGTGAGAAGCTTCCCATTTTTTCTTAATTAAAAAAAGGCAAATAAAATACTGCAGTTCAAATAAAATACATCTGTGGAAGTTTCTGAACAGTTTCAGAAGACAGTTACTGGAGTTCTCGGAGTACCTAATACAGTATCTAAACCTTATAGCCACAAACTCTATTCACAGTTTTTAAGCGAAACGAGTCTACAAATACTTGTAATGAGAGCTCACTAGCTGAGAAGACTTGCTTTTCCAAAATGCCAGGTGATATTATTTACTGATCATGCTAGTTATGCTTACTTGAGACATATTCCAATTCAGATAAGACCAGTTGCTTTTATATTTCTGTGTCCTTATATCCAATTCTCCTTTAAGGTAAAGGAAGCAGAAGTGTCAACATTTCAGAAACTGCCTTGGGTCATTTTGTAGGAACATACATGACATCATTTTGTGTAAGTTAAAAAACCATTTAGAGTAACTTTTTATGTGGTGTCTAAATTTGCTACCAGGCAGCTCTGATAAAGCTAGGAAGAAAGAGTTCAGAAGGAAGCTCCAGGCAGGCAGCCTTGTGGTTCCGGTAAGAGCGTAACCCAAGACAAGCCTTGCTATGCCTATGTACTAAACCCAAGATGGTGCTGATCTGCTGATGAACCAATCCCCAGTTGTGAGCCCTGATAGAGCAAAGTTACCACCTAATGAACTGATACTAAAACAGAACTTTGGAAATGGTTCCTAGGATCACACTGCTGTACTCCAGAGAAAGGTTTCTCTAGCTTATGTTGATACTCATTTGCAAGACCTAAGACTCTGTGTGTGGCCCTGGGCTCATGCAATCCCACTTGTTAATCACACAGCCTATGCTCTCAAGGATGTCCTAGATCCTCCACCAGTGCCATCCTCCCAGCCTCTTCACCATGGATATGGGTTGAGCCTGCAAGCTTCTGAAGCATCCTCACTGGAGACAATTTTCCAGTGGAGTCCTGTAGAAGCAATTTATGCCCAAGCCAACTGTTCCCCACTTAGATCTTTAACTTCCATTTTAGTATGCTATCGTAAGGAATGTTTGTGTGAACAAACCAGGCATATTTGAAACACAAATCTTGTGTGGATATCATAATTGCTGAGCACCTCACAACCCACTGGTCAGTGCTCTCCACACAAGGCATGCATGAGATGAGACTTTAGATTCAGCTTATGTCACCCTGTGAAATTTGGGAGTGTATGGGAGACTTTGGACTCCACCTGGCCACCCTCTGAGGTCAGAGAGCCCACTAACACTTCAGATTCCACATCAGGATAAGCTAGGAAGTCAGGGAACTTAAGACTTCAGACCTTACTCTGAGCTGACATTTCATTGAGGTCATGAAGTATGCTGGCATTTCATTCCCAACCCCAGGGCTACCTCTGAGGCGCAGAGTATACTGACATTTGCCTCTACACCATACTGTTCTGTGAGGTCAGAAATGAACTGAGATTGCTGGACACTGCACTTCCCACCACACCCTGCAATTATGCTTTATTTTTATGATATACAAGATGAATGCAGCAGGACATTCTGATATCCCACTGTTCATACTTTTACTTTTTTTTCCCCTCTATCTCGGTTGTTTTTCAGTTGTGTTCCCCTCTCTTAAGTCCTTTCTCTGATCTTTCCTCAGAAACACATGTTTGTCTAATTGACAAAGTAACATGACTCCTCCTTCTCTTGCAGATTAAACTATTATGTGTCACCTGACTGCGAGTTATTTTAGTCCTTGCTTCTCACTCTGCATTTAAGCATCTTCCCAAACCTGCACCGTTTTCTCTCCCACTTCTGTTCTTCTACTTCCTATTTAGCAATCTAATGCTTAGTATTCCTGTGACTTTTCCCTCTAGCATCCCGACAATAACTAATATATTATTATTACATAAAGCACTATCAATGTCCTTTTACTCACCAGAGCACTTAAAGTACTTACGATGTGATTGTACTCTTTTCAGTGTAATCACTGCTACAGTGAGTGTTGCTGCAGGCAGTAATCAACTCTCAGGAGAGCCATGTAACTAGAGCCTAGTGTCCTTAACATCATTAAATTGATTCTTAAAGAGGAAAATATGAACTCAACTCTATACAACCTAGTATCTCCTAATCACTGTAAATGTGTCTACTGAAAAGGTAATCTGAATTTAAAACATCTGTAACAATAGCAAAAAAACTCAACCAGTCACGTAGTATCAGATGAACAGTGCTGATGCAAAAATCAGATAATCCAAGACACACTTAACCTGCTATAAAAATCTACCATTCTCATAGAACATGCAAATGTTCTAAAAGTTCAAAAAACACAATTGATCACCAAGCCAGTTCTATAGAATACTGGAAACTCTGGACTGAAGACAACAAACCAACCAACAACCAACCAACCAGCCAACAACCAACCAACCAGCCCATCCGAGATGCTACAGGTAGAAGTAGAAGGTACTAAGGTAGTTGTTAAAACAGGAAGACTAAAAACACAATGGACTACAAAATTTTAAAAAAATGTAGGGAATTACACACACCTTTTAATAACTGAATATTAATGTTCTCATTTATCCAAACTGAAGCACATAAACAGAGGACTGGATTAGAAAACAAGATCCTTCTTTTCGCTTTTTACATGAAACACAGCTCACCATCAAAGACAAGTGTTATCTTATAATGAAAGGACATAAGAACATATTCCAAGCAAATGGCATTATAAAACAAGCAGGTGTTGCTCTTCTAATATCTGAGAAAATATACTTCAAACCAAATCTAGTAAGGAGAAATAAAGGTCACTTCATACTGTTTAAGTAAACAATTCATCAAAAGGACATTACAAAATCAAAATTAAAACACCTTCAACACAGGTAGACCCAATTTCATAAGACACATACAACTAAGGATACAATTAAAGGTTAACACCAACAAAACAACAGTGGGAGACTTTACCACTCTTACTATCAGACACATGATCCAGATGAATATAGAAAAGCACGGAATTAGATGACCTCAAAAGATGCAATAGATATAGCAGAAATATGGAACACTCCCTCAACTAAACACTACAGAATATACATTCTGTAGCCCGTGGAAATTTACCCCAAATGGACTATAGATGGAATAGAAAGCAAGTTTCAACAAAATTTAGGGAAACTGAAATAACTGCCTGTATCTTATCTTACCACAATGGAAGAAAGGAAGAAATGAACAGCAAAAATACAGAAAATACAGAAGCAGATGCTCGCAGCCAACATTGGACTGACTGCTGGGTCCTAGATGAGAGGAGTTGGAGAAGGGATTGAAGGAGCTGAGGGGGTTTTGCAGCCCCGTAGGGGGAGCAACAGTGTCAACCAGCCAGGACCCCTGAAGCTCCCAGGGACTAGACCATCAACCAAAGAGTACACATGGAGGGACCCAGGGCTCTGGCCAAGTATGTGACAGAGGATGGCTTTGTTGGATATCAGTGGGAGGAGTGGCCCTTGATCCTGTGGGGGGTTCATTGGCCCTGTGTAGGAGAATGGCAGGGGGGAAGACAGGAGTGGGTGGGTGGGTGGGGCACCCTCACAGAGGCAGGGGGAGGGGTATGGGATAAGAGGTTTCTGGAGGGCAGACTTGAAAAGGGGATAACATCTGAAATGTAAATAAAGAAAATATCCAAGGGAAAAAAAAACTCTGAAAACTAAAAAAAAAAATACAGAAAACATATAAATTTAGAGGTGTACTACCTCTGAATAATAAACAAGTCATTGAAGCAATCAAAAATATAAAAATTCCTGTAATGAATAAAAATAAAAATGTAATATATCAAAACTTAAGAAATACAATAAAAGAAGTTCTAAGATGGAAGTTCATAGCTCATAGCTCTCAATGCTTACAGGGGTCACGGGTGGAAGAAATATGCAACCTGAAGTCCTAGCCTGGTGCCCACATGCTAATTTTCTATCCTAGGGAATCCCTCTGAAAACAAAGCTGAAGAAATTTAGAAAACTGAACTAATTCTGTGTAACAAATCTGACCAAATGGAATAAAATTTAAGAACTCCAAATGAATCTCTCATAATTATAAAACCCATGGAGATGAAATAACACAATCCTGAATCATAAAGAGCAAAGAAATAAAAAAAGATCTTTTAAAAATACATGGGATTAAATGAAAATATAAAAAATACAACAAAACCTCTGAGACCCATTGTAAACAGTTTGAAGAGGAAATCTTAACCTCTAAGTCCCTACATTAAAAATTCAGAAAAAGTAGAAATAATTAACTATTTCAGTAAAGTGGCACAATAAAAAAAAAATCAACTTAAAAACTTAGAAGCCTTTCTATATACCAACAATAAACACGCTGAGAAAGATGATGAACATGTGCCCATTTATACAGCCTCAGAGAAAAGAAAGTCTCCAGGAATGACCCATTCAAGCAGGTGAAAAGCTCCTACAATGAAAACATGAAATCCTTAGAGAAACTGACTGAAAAAGACATTGGATGATAAAGACCTCCCATGCTCATGGGTTGTTAGAATTCATATTGTGAAAATGGTAATCCCTATTAAAATGTCCACATTTGTTACAGAAATGTTTTTTAAAACTATAAAATACATATAAAGCCATAAAAGACATTCTAACAAGAGAATACTATTGAAGGGATTATAATTTTAGATTTCAATATACTACAGTACCATAGTAATAAAAACAACGTAATACTAGCAGAAAAACAGATAACCAATGTGACAAAACAGGAAGCCCAAATGTACGCTCATGTAACT